TTTTAATGTTAAATAATAAAAGCATTTTGGCTGTGAATTGGTTGGCAGGCCCAGCACTGGCCACGTACATTTTAAAACACCATTCTGTATTTACAGGGTCACTATCATCTTGACCCACGTTACTCTGAAGAGGGCTCTTTATTGCCAAATGCTTGATTCTTCAGTTTCAACTTTATCGTTATCTAGTTTTAAAGGACTGTGCTCAGCAAATATATTAGTCCAGTTTTGGAATAATATGGAGCCCGCGTTACTCCAGTTTTTTAGATTTTGACAATTTTTATGGCCTGTGACAGATGGCTAATTTTGTAAATGTCCCACAAATGCTTCGACAAAAGATGCAGCCTCTATTTGTACAGTTTAAACCCCCAGACCTCTCAAGCCACCCCTGTTTTTTGTGATTCAGATTCACAATAACTGTATTTTTATCCTGATTAATATGCTGGAAGTCTCCTACAATTGCTTCATCCAATTTTGTTCTGTCTGTTTTGTAAAGTTTAATTTAAAACTTAAATTCAAGTTTAATGTGCTGACGGAAGAGTGCATAAATCGAGACTTTCCGACGTGAGACGGGAGCATCGTGTCTACGTTCCCAGAAGCCTCTGCCCCGATGATTCTAACTGCGGAGGCGCTGCTTGGAGCCCGAGGGCTGTGGCCACAGGATGACGTCGCCGCTCCCAAAAGCCTGACAGCACAGCCATCCTGTCACCGCCCTGCCCATGGCCCCCCTTGCAGCGGCACGTATTAGGGCTCCTTACATTCCAGGTGTCAGTCTCCCCCCTGCTCTCCTCTGAATCTGCTCCCTCCACCCCTCCCTTCAGCCCCCTCCGCCCCTCCCGCAGGGCTCTGGCCTCACTGTCACCGCCTCCCAGAAGTCACCTTCCTCCTACTGTACCCATGCCATCACCCATGCCATCCTGGGCTCTCCACCCTGGGAAGGAGGCCTCCGGGCTCTGCTCCTTCTCGGTTCACCTCCCTTCCAACCCCCCCCCAGCCCTCTCAGCACCAACGTTACTGAATGACCCGCACCGCAGAGCAGGCCTCACCTCATCTGCTCAGTGACCTGGATACCACCCCTGCCCGCTCCCGGCTCTCTCGCACCCTGTGCCCCTCACCTGATTTATCACTCCCATCCCCTTGCCACAGGCCTGCTGGCCCAGGTCCCATGCTGAGTGTGACCCACCCCTCACTCATCTGTCCCTCCCTGGCTGGTGCAGCCCCTCGTGGGGGGAACCGAGTCTCCTGACAGACGGCACAGGGCCTGGCCCAGAGGGAGGGCGAGGGGTGCGCGGGACCAGCACCGATGACAGCAGAACAGACTGAGGCCCTCCCACCGGGATGGCACTCACCCGGTCCTGCCTGGTCCCACTGAGCAGCCACCAGCAAGCCACAGGAGACCAAGGGGACAGCGCCTGAGCCACCAAGCACCATGCGGGTGGGAGCGCTCACCAGGACGCGGGCACAGGGCCAGGCACCCCCTCTGTGGGCAGATGGGCTTCCCTGCACTCACCGGCCTCTGGCCTCCGGGGCTGGCTGCACCACACAGGCACCCACGCACGGGGCGAGGGCCCGTCCCTCCTAAGGAGGCTGGTCGTTCGTCAACTGCAGATATTTACAGATGGCTAAGCTCCTGACATCAGAGAAGGTCCCCAATGTCACTGGGAGTTCCACGCTGCCTTCACCATAATGACTGTCTCTACCCTGAAGAAGAACACTGCATGCTGCCACCTCCTGTGTGTCTAAGGGACTTGCCCTCTTCAAAATCAGAAACAGCAGTGCCAACTCCTACCCGGCGAGACCCTCCGATTTCACAGCGCATCGCTGCGTCCCCATGGCTTCTGGGTCATGGCTCAGGAGGCCGGAGGGCAGGGACCATCCCGCCGGGGTGCTGCCCTCACCAGGATGAGGTGACAAGGGCGCTGTCGTCGAGGACCAGAGGGGCGGGGGCTGCGAAGGGGGCTGCCGTTGGACCCCCGCATGCTGGGACGCCAAATGAAGAGCTTAGACTTTGGGGATAAAACAGACATAATGGTTTTCAGGGTGGCTTATTTTCACCTACTTTGTAACGCTTTACTTATAAATTGACCAAAAATCCCAGTAATGCCGTCACCTGGAGCGTGACAACATGGCCCGTGGGTGAGGGGGGGCATGCCGCGAGGACGCGCACACGCCTCACAGACGCTCTGTGCTCTGGGGGCCGCGAAGGGTTCTGGCTGCCGGAGAGGCTGGGGCCGGCCCCTCAAAGGCTGGTTTGGCCACCACGTGTGCCTGGGCGGGCGGAGGGGCCTCCTGCTCACTGCAGAGGTCCCTCCCCTTCTGCGCCCGAGTGCTCTTCTTATAACCCTCAGAGGTGGAGCGTGCCACCAGGGGGCACAAGGCTGCGCACAGGGGCTCCTGCCACCCTGGACACCCCACAAATCTGGTTAGAAAAGGCCCATGAAGGGCAGTATCCAGGCTGTGGGCGCTGAGGCTCGGGCCTCAATGGCCAGCAGAGGTGGGGACGGGGGACCCCCAGGGTGGGACAGAACTGGGAACCAGAGTCAGAGGTGGGGGGGCGGCGATCACTGGCCGGGGGTCGGCGACTCCTCAGGGGAAAGCACGAAGCTCCGGGCACCAGCGCTCAGGACGGGCGCGAGCGGCCACGGCAGAAGGTGCCCCTCCACGCAGTGGGCCCAGCAGGCCCTCACAGACGCTTACAGAACTGGACGCAAGCAGACCATCGGCCTGGGCGAGCCTCAGACACCAAGACCCACAGGAAAGAGCAGGAAAGGGGCGGCACCCCAACTTCCTGCCTGGGCGCATCCTTCGGGACCGAGCAAAGCCACCGCCCTCCCTGTGCGGCGACGCTGGGCCATGTTAACACCAAGAGAGTCTCCGCCTCCCTCCTGGAAAGGCTCGCTCCTCTGAAAATGACTCTCTCCCTGTGGAAATGACGGGGAGCGACACCTTATTTCCCAGGGGCGGACTGCAGCGCCACGAGGACTGAGGGCTTTTAAAGCCTCTCCCCCCAAGTGCTCTGCTGCTGGAGACGCGGCTTGGGGCCCGTCACTCAGGCTGTCTTCGTGGAGGCGGAGCCAGTTTCCTAAAATGTCACGATGCAAACGCAAGTCCCCCGCGCTCCCCAGGGTGCCAGAGGTTCTGAATTCCTATTTTCTCTTATTTCTTTTCCCATTTAGTTTAATCCTCCGCAACGCACTGCGGAGTTCATACACACGCTCTCCGTCTAGCCCCCACGACGTCAGCGCTCAGGTGTGCTCTGCGCTCGGGCGAAGCGGTGTCCGCCCCCCAGCCCTGGCGCTCCGCGGGCCCTCGGAGCTCTCGCCACCCGCCCCCTGGGCTGTGCCTGTGCCCTGGCCTCCGTCAGCCTCAAGGCAAGTGAGCGGGGCTGAGAAGGCGGCAAAACGCTTTAACCAGCTGCCCGAGTCGCACTCTCCAATCACAGCAGAGCGATATCCCCAGTCAAACAGCAAACATGTGGTTTGTCTTAAAAAATGTGATGAAGTACCGAGGGTGACAGAGTGGGCTCATCATCGCACGTCCAAGGTTGCGGACATGCTGCCACGGGGGGTCACACCTGCCACGCTGCAGGGTCCTGGGCAGCCCCATCACAGGGGCTCTGTGTGAGGGGCGGGAAGATGGGTGGTCCAAACGGGGCCGGGACCAGGAGGGGCCAGTACCGACCTCCCAGCCGGGCACGTCCCCAGACCCAGCTTGGGGACCCTTGTGCACGGGCTGCTCTCTCCTGTCCTCCAGCCCCGGGGGTCGCGGCCCTGCTGTGGCCCCTCTGCTGTCCCCCATGGCCAGTGTGTATCTGGTCTGTTGTGAGCCACCTTGTGGGAAAGGGACCCTGTAGCACTGTCCCTAATTGGGGAGCAGGTGGAAGATGGGGGACAGATGACCAAGCCCCTGCACAAGCCGGCCGGGCAGGCTGGGTGTCTTCTCCCTACTTTACAAACCGTGATGGGGGCTTGAGGAGGCAGGGACGACGGCCGCCCGGGACCGGGAGGTGGCTCCGATGCTGCCGCAGGGTCCAGCCGAGCCCCGCGCTGACAGGAAGGGCCAGCTGGAGGGAAGCGACGCCCTCACCTTCCCCAGCCACCCAGGACGCCACTGGGCAGTGAGGCAGGACTCGGGCCCTCAGCAGGCGGAGCAGGGTCCTCAGAGTCGGACACACAGGGGCTGAGGCACAACAAGGCCAGGCCAGTGGCCCAGAGCCGCCGCCCGTGACCAAGGACCCTGGCCTCCCAGCCTGAGTGTCACCTGAAAGTTGGGGACTCGAGGAGGTGAAGTGGCGGAGAGTGACCCCCAGCCATTCGGTGGCAGAGCGGTCCCGGTCCCCACTATTGGTGCTCGCGTCACTACACCACAGGCACCCCAATCCTCGGGGCATGGGCAAGGCACTGGGGGGCAGGACGGCCTCCCCAGCACCTCGGGTACGGGGGGGTATCACCCCATGAAGGGGCCACACCCCACTGGGTCTCGGGCCACCACGCACAGGCACACGAGGGTGGGGACGGGGCTGGGGACTCGCCCACACGGAACCCCTCGGTCAGGCCCAGAGCCTCTGACGCACGGGTGCGAGTGTGGCTTTCCCAGTACGTCACAGGAAACAGCAGTGCACGGAGGCCAAGCAACACAGCCTGCGTCACCAAGCACCAGGCACCAGTTCCAGAAGCTACCCTAGTGCCTCACAGCCCAGCTGCTGTCACCAAGCTCCTGGGAGCCTCCCGGCCACACGGCTGGGGACACAGGCTGGCTCCGGGTGCTGTTGCAAAGGGGCCTGTGAAACAGCCACCTGGGTGGCGCCTGGCGCCGGCAGAGCCCACGCCCCACAGGACTGCGGTGGCCAAGCGGTGGCCTCAGCGTGACAGTTTTCAAACAGCAGGAGGTCGGTGAGCCCCGAGCCTCAAAGCTCTTGCCAGTAACCCCGTGAGCTGGGCTGTGGGAAGCAGCTCTCCACACAGAAAACCAAACTCGGGGTCTTTTGAAAAGTGTTCACTTACTTGAAAATCTCTTTCTTCTAGGATTTCTTTCCTCCATCTGACAAGAAATGCAGCGCAGACGTACAGATGGAAATGGGAAAAGCCCTCAGGCTCGGACTGCAAGGAAGAAGACGAGAGGTGTTAGTGTGTGGGGGGCCGGGGCTCGTCTGGCTCAGAGGGCTGGAGCCGGGGCGCTGGCTCCCCTCTACTTAGTGCCGCAGTTTTGACATTCTCGCCTCATCAAAACAAACACGTTTTTCTCTTTAAGTCCCAGCCGCCTGGGAAATAAGACGTGAACAGCAGACCAGGTTTTAGGCAAGTTCAACAGCTGTCCACTTTCTTCTCCCGCACAGATGACAGCCAACAGTGATAAAAGGCAGATCCAGGGGCACTGGCTCCACAGCCATGGGTCGGGGAAACCGTGTCACACGGGGACACCGCCCACAGGGGCCGAGTCCCCTGCCCCTCAAGTCCTCCCGCGTGCCCCTCCTCCATCCCAGATGCCCCCTTGGGGCTCCACACCTAGCTGGCTTCAGAGCCCCTCCGTGCTGCCCCTCAGGTCAGGCACACACCTGTGAACTCGGACCTGCCGCCTTCACGACTGCCACCTGTGTATGACACGGTGCCGCCACTGCTAATAGTTTACCAGTGAATAAATAAAACAGCGCATAAGGTGCTGTGAGAAAACACCGCAAGGAAGCAGGACAGGAAATTGCCGGGCGTCTGGGGGGACGTGGCTTGCAATGTACGCGGTGGTCAGTCTCCTAAGGTTCCATTTAAACAAAGACCCAAAGAGGGAGCCATGTAGATATGTGGGGGAAACGCAAGGCCCCTGAGGTTCGAGACGGCCCGGCACGTTCCAGACACAGCGAGATCTGCGTGGCTGCAGAGACTGGGGCCGGAAGCGGAGCTGGAGGTGAAGGCCCAGGTGCCCGGGGCCTCCCTGGTGGCTGGGCCTGTTCTGGGGCCCACAGGCAGCTCTGGGCAAAGGACAGGCGTGCTCCCGAAGGGTGCCTCTGGCTGGCACGCTGACAACACATGTGGATGGGGTGGGGTGGGAACAGGCAGACCCGGGGGGTCGGCGAGGGGACCATGGAAATTGTGAAACCGAGGTGTCACTGCTCAGGCCAGGGGGAGCCGGGCAGCGGTGAGAAGGGTCCCAAGTCTAGACAGGTTCGGAAGGTGAGCCAGCAAGCTGCTCTGAGGACAGGAGACACCGGAACGAGGCAGGGGCAGCTGACATTAACACTAACGGCTTCGGAAGCGACAGCCGGAAGGGTGGGGCCGCCATTTCCTCAGGGGAGGAAAGGTTTGAGGGAAGTCTGCAGGAGGCAGTGTTTTGGTGGGAAGGTGGTGACAGTCTGCTCTGTGGCCATGACAAGCTGAAGACACCTGTGAGGCATCCAAGTGGAGATGCCGGGTAGGCAGTGGACAGGTGAGTCTAAGACTGCGGGACAGTGGCCCGTGATCCAGGCCAGGGGGACGCATTGAGGGTGAAGGGCCTAAAATGGGCAGCCGGGGGGCCGGGAGGGGACGCAGGGATATGAGACGCGGCAGAAGGGTCAAGTGCAGGTGAGCAGGGAGTGGCCCTGGGTTGGCTACACGGAGGTCACTGCAGGCAGGAGAGCTGACGAGTGTGTCAGAGAGGAGGACAAGCAGAGGAACTAGAGACGGAGTGTGTTCCTGCGTCTGATGTCACTGCGCCGGCTGAAGCTGTCACTTATACGCTCAGATCTCCTGACAGGGGGGTGGCAGCCATGTCTTCTGCTTCCTGACTTACCAGGGGCCCTGCTTTGCTTACTCCTCTCCAGATAATGACGCTTGTTTTGCTCGGGGCCTTTCCTGTAGATGCAACTAGCAGGTTGGAACAGTTCCTTCTATTCCTGATTTACTGAAGCTCTTACCATGGACGGCTGAAGAGTTTCATCACATGCTTTCCCTGCATCAGTGGAGGCGACAAGGTTGTTTTCCTTTAATTGCAAATGTGGTGAGTTACATAAGTATGATAGTTTCTTTAATGTCGGACCTGCCTTGCATTCCGGGATAAGCTCAATTTGGTCACAAGGTATTACATGTTTAAATGGCCAGGTCCTGCGTGCCAGTCTTTCATTTAGGGTTTCTGCGTTCACAGTGGTACCACCGGCCTTCGATGGCTTAAGCAGAAAGGTGTGTTTGCCTCTCGCCTCCTCGTTTCCATTCTCAGAGTCTGTACAAAACTGGGTGTCTTCCTTGAAGGTTTGCTGGACATCCCGTGTAACGGGTGGGGCCTGACGTTGTCTTCGTGGAAAGATTTGTATTTCTGATTCAATTTCTATTGACACTTCTTCCAATTTTTAGAAACTTACTCCAAATTCGTTCATAAGATTCCGTTTTCCTTGACTCCCTGTTGCATCTGTAATAATGTCCTAGCTGAGAGTCTTAATTCCACTTTCATGTGCTTCCCCCGTTTCCACTACTGATTATGCTTGAAGCGTGTTCACTTCACCAGCCTTTTCAAAGGACTAACTTTTGATTTGGTTTTCGATCTGCTGAGCTTCTGCATTTCATCCGTTGCTGCTGCTGTCTTTACTATGTCCGTCTTCTGCTGACTTTCTCTTTCTGCTGTGGATCTATTCTAACACACACAAATGTGACGTGGCTTTGACTTATTCTGAAATCAGTTCTTTTTCTAAGGTAAGATGGACGATTGGCTCATTAATATCTGGCTTTTCTTCATCTCTGATGCTAACATGCATTTGAGGCTATAAATTTGCTTCGCTAAGTCCCGTTTTAGCTGCGTTCCACGGTTTTAATGAATAGTTTCTTTATTCTGCTTTATGAGTCCCTTCGATCAAGTCTTACTTACAGTATGTTTTTTAAATCTATAAACATCCGTGGTTCATTTTTGTTTTGTTTTGTCTAGCTTTTTTGCTTATCGATTTGTAACTTAATTGTGTTGTAAGAGAACGTGACGTATGGGGCGCTGACCTTTTTGCGGGTCTAGATCTGCCTTTTGGATGAAGACACCATCAGCTCTCCCAAAGGCCCCTGAGGCAGCGCCGTGGGAGACCAGGAGCATAGCCCTGGAGCCACTGTGGCTGGGACAAGGGCCTCTCCGTGCCTCAGTTTCCTCCTCTGTAAAATGTCAGGAAGATTCAATACATGAACCATGGAAAGGCCTGAGGATAATGCCGGAGCACAGTGAACAACATGGAACAAACTGCAGCCCGTTGTAGTGGGCTCACTGCGGTGTGACCTGCTTTGTAGACGTGATCGTGTCCTTCTGTCACTCCAAACGCTCCTTTAGCGTCTGCCCCGTGTGAAACCAGCAGGTCCGGGTAACTAACACCTGTGCGGCTCTGTTCCTGCAGCCTGTTCTCCGCTGGTTCTCGGTCCTGGCGGCTGCTTCCTCGGACTTCAGCCACTGTCCCCACCGGGGGTTTAGGTGCCTTGGAACGTTTATCTGTTGGAATTCTTGGAGGCTTGTATCACAAATGGTTTTCTTTGGGGGAAAAACTGCATTTGTTTCTGACAAAGCCCACGGGCACTCTTTCTTCACGCTACATGTCCAGCTTGGTACTTTTCAGGACTCACGAGTCACCGGAACTGGAGCTCCACGCCCACGTGAAGGCTGGACAGTGGTGGGAAGCCCTGAGGGCTTTTCCCTTTCCCTTCCCTTTAACCTCCATGGCCAAGGCCAGGGAAGGCGAGCCCGAGCACCTGTGTGGTCTGAAGGGTCTCCAGGCACATGAAAACCAGGCTGTGGGCCCTGGACACAGACGGGCAGATGCTCCCGGGGAAATCGCAGCTTTGATGTGGCTCCTCGACCTCTGCCGATTAACATTTTCCCGTGTTTTCTGGTCTATGACAGTCTCTCTTCCTTTGCAATTATGTATTTTTTTAAACTACACTGGCATCCTTTGGTCCACTGTGACAGGAGGGGCCTCCTGGACACCAGGTCCCCCACTCTGCCCTATTATTTGTCTTTAAATCAACTTATTTCTTTAAAACCTTAAATGGATTACTCCTGTAGCTTTGTATAACAGATCTGATGTGCTAGATACAGTTTTGCTAATACCCATTCAAATATACATAGCCATTAAAATTTAAAATGTGTGTCATGTTGGAACTAAAACCAACTAACAATTCCCGCTTAGGGAAACGGCAGCAAGGCCTCTGGAGCAGGGTCCCCCGACTTCTCATTCTGCCCGCCAGCCCCCTCCAGCCGGTCCTCGCATGGTAACCAGGACACTCTTTGTCACTAAGTGGACTCCCGTCATGTCACAGAGCTATTTCCAAATGGCATCACCTTTAGGACCACGTCAAACTCCTGAATGTGACCCGCAATCCCGACACCCTGGCCCGCCCCGCCCC